CCGTTTGGTCTGTTGAAAAAGTCCCCCTATGAAAGGTTTTTTTTTTTTTTTCTTTGAAAAAAGTGGCTCGCCAAATAACTTGATTTTTTAAAAACTCATCTTCACAACAATAATTTCAGCTTGAAAAACCTTTGAGTGCTTTAGTAAGTGTTCTACACTTTGTTTTGTTTGAATTTATATAAATACTAATCTAATTTTTGGGTTTTTTTTATTTATTAATATGCACTTTTAATGATAAATTAATTAGTATAGTCTAGTCTAGTTTGGAACAACGTTGACTACAGAACTTGACCATAAAATTGCATTAATAAACGAGCAGGACATGTGGCACGCCATGATTGTCTCCAAAAAGTCACGTGGATCGGAAACAGGTGCAAAAGGATGGAAAATGACATTATGAAGAAAAAAAAAGAGGAGAAAAAACCCTCTGAATCAAGAAAGAAATTGAAAAGTTAAAGTTCACATGGGGAATAAAGTCTATTTCCTTAGTCGTGAGCAATCTTCCATCTTAAGGCTGGATAGTCTTATCCTCAAATAAATTACAGACAAATTAGAATTGTTTTACGACTAACCTAATCTAGCCTAATTTATAACTCGGCTGATGGACTGAATTGAATTTAATAATTTTTTTTAAAAATTATTGAATAATATAATAAAAAAAGTTCTTGCAGAAAATAAAAATTAAATTTAATAAACAAAAAAAACATTAATAAGTCATTTACTACTTAAATTCTGCTACCGTAAATGTAGCTAGAAAATCAAGAGATATTTTTTTATTTTAAAAATTATTTTTAAATTTATTTTTATCTTAAAACATCTAATAAAAATAAATAAAACCTCAAAAAACTAATTTATCAATTCAAAAACTTCTAAAAATATTTCAAAAACACAAAATCAAATTAAGTAAAAAACAATTATTTCTCAACTCTAATTTGTATTTTTCAGTCAAAATAAACATTTAATAACACTCTAATGAGACTCTTCTTGTTAAATTAAATCAATTAACACCAAAATTATTTTTTTTATATTTAAATGATATCAACTATTTATTTTTTTTTCTTTATTATTTTTTAATGATTTCATTTCTCATTTTTTTTAATTTAAGGATTGAAATGTAAATAAAAAAATTCTTAGACCAAATCCTATAATTTCCAAACTAAAGATACACAAAATAAATAAAAACATAAGGCTATTTTTTTTTTTTATAAGAAAGTCATTTACACATTTTTTTAAAGAAAAAGGCCTTCTATTTTACCAAACTTTTAATTTTGGCCTCTTTTTTTTTTTTTTTACAAACAACAAAACTGAATTTTTTTTATGAAATTAAAAACCAACTCACTACAAGATATTTCTTGAAACCGTGATAAAACGATAGGAAATAACATAAAATTAACAAATCATCAATTTAAATCACCAATTAAATTTAATATAAAATAATAAAATTAAAAAAAAATTCAATGTGCCAATTAAAAGAAATGAAAGGCTGAATTGTTTTCTTTAAATAAAAGACTATCATTTACCTTGTTTTTAGTTTTGACCTCTGTATTTTTTATTTTTCATTAACAATTAGTTATATTTTTTTATATAAAATTAAGAATTAATCTAGTATTAAAATATTTTGTTAAAATGGTAATAACCTAATAAAAAATAATACAAAACAAATTTTAGAGTTTTTTTTTTGTAATTTATAATTTGTAATATGTTTAAGAATGATAAATATTTATCAGTCCAAAAATAGTAAATATGAACTTTCCTAATACAATGACTTACACTCAAAAGAAAAAGGAAAAGAAAACATTATCATGTGCATAAGTTTAAACTTATGGGCTCATGTGTACATAAAATTTTCAAAAGTAGAAGCTATTAAATTACTCATCATTCTGTGCAAAAATTGCCTAAAATAAATTGGTCACAAAGTTAATTACAAAAAGGGACCTAATGCAAGAGAATATATTTCAATTTAATAATTAAATCCCATTAATCATATTAAACTTTAAGATAAGATAGAACCTTCCTATTACTATCACACAAACCGAAGAAAATAAAATCATGTTTTTTTTTAAAGTAATTTTTAGAAAATTATAAGTCAAATTTTCTTGTATTTAATTGTCATTAAAAAAATTGGTCAATGACAAATACTTTTTAGTGAAAGAAAAATTTAGCTTGGTTTCCAGAAAAGTGTTTTTCTAGAAAATTTGAGCTAAAAGCACTTTTCAGAAGTTGTGAAAAATATAGAAATATCATATTATTTACTGATTATATCAAATTTGATTTTCAAACTTTTTATTGCAATATATATTTTATTTTGAATATTTATTATTCAATTTTATCGCTTAAAATTTAATTTTTAACTTTGATCCTTATTTTTATAATTGTTATTTGCGTTTTCTTATATTTTTTGTTGAAATTTTTTATTTATTAAATTTAATTATCATTCTTTTGATTGTTATTTATTTTATTTGAAATAATTTATGAAATATTAATATTATTATTTTAATTTCTTCATCTTTTATTTTTTTTATTTTTTAGATTTAATCTCTATTATTTTGATTATTATTTATTTTATTTGAGACAATTTATGAAATTATAT